TAAAATAGTATGGAGGGAAGATATTTCCGTTTGGATTACTGGTCTGGGGGAAGCTCACGAGTGTGTGTGTGTGTGTGTATACGTGTGTGTGTTTGTGTAATTTTGCGTTTGTGTTTGTTTCCCGGGGAAAATACTCACGAGAAACACCGGCTGTTGTTATGCCTGCTGTGACGTCAAGTTACTCCGTTCTCCGCTTGTAATTATGCCATTACAAGCTTCAAAGTTTATCATCTGAATTTGCCGAAACAAGTTTAATATTCTGAAAGCCAAGACTTTTTTTTTTTGAAATCCGATGAAAACAAACTGTAACGGACCCTGCCGTGTTATCTATGATTACTATACACCTTACATTCAAAATTTCAGCCGGAGGGAGGGGGGGCGAGTGAGAGCTGTCATCTTCCCTTTACAAACTTCAAAAATGTATTTATCGTGTGATTTTGGAAATAAAAGTTTCATATTCTGAAAGCCAAGACTTTGTTTATTTAACATTTTTAAAAAACACCCGAAAAAATATATATATATATTTTTAAAAAATTGTATTGGCTCATGATAGGCCCCCGATCTCCGTAGGCCCCTGGGCTTCAGCCCAGGTCAGCCCGTGCATTAAGGCGGCCCTGCCTGTAATGAAGAGCAAAGGCACAGTGATACCAAGAGGCTGGTACAGACAATGTAGGCCAAGAACAACACCCGCCAGACAGTAGTGTAGCGGTGAAGCACAGTAGGGCAGGAAGCCGGCTGTACAGACAGACACAGCCGTGAGGGTAGACCAGCCGTCCAGGCAACAGTCAGGCAGGCAAGGAGTAGCATGAAGCTGCAGCGTCGGAGACAGCAGTTACAGGACTGCACTTGTAGAACCGCACAAACAGGTCCGACGGAGCACGTCACGGCGGCACGTGACGGAGCACGTTCACATGAACGCCTGAAGCCCCTCAATGCAGTGCGCAATCTAACCCTTCCCCCCATCCTAACCCTAACCACTCTCTACCTTTTTACCTAATCCTAATCTTTCTTCCTCCCTCCCAAACCTCAATGTTTCAATGTTGATATAACGTAATTTAAATTAAATACAGGGTTTTAATTTAAAAACAGTTTTATTCTGAAAAACCCAGAAGTTCACACTAACTATTAACTTAACACTTTTATTCTGAAGATTCCGGTTAACATTAGTATGTGGCTAACGTTTTGAAAACCGTGAATTGAAGGTGAAATGTACGGTGGCCGGCAGGTGCAAACGCTAAACAACGGCCAAAAACACACACATAAGCAGGAAACACCTGCAAATAATGAAATGAAAAACCAACAAACCCTGAAAACACATACAACAGAAAAACGCTGCATTTACAGAAATTATGCAAGCTTAACCTACAACACACAAACCCTGAAAACAAACGCAACAGAAAAACGCTGCAAATACAAAAACGATATGCAAAGTCAAAAGCACATACAACCGAATAACACGTTACAAAAAAAAAACATTCCGGAAGTGCTTCAGGCCTCTAGGGGGCGCGCTACGTGGAACAGATTGATGTATGACCAGACATAGAGAGAACGAACAAGAGGAAAGAAAGTTCATTTAAGTGGAGAAAGATATAAGAAGGTAAGTTTTGTTTTTATACATAGAGCGTCATATTTACATAGCTAGCGTTAGCGTGTTTGATCAAAGAGCTTGCAAGAGCCATTGTGCACCTAAATGTAACTCTTGACATAATATAGATATAGTATAGAACCGGGACGCCCCTCCCTACACGCAGATCACACAGACTGGGTGGGGTCTCACGCCCTCACCTCCTGGAGGGGGCCTCAACTGAGCCGCAAATGCGATGCGGTGATAAAAAGGAAATCAAATGTAAAAAGTTGAATTAAAATATTAAAACAGCAACACAACATTATTCCCACATTAAAAGACAGTCTGAAGAGGTGTGTTTTGAAAGTGGGGGGGTCGGTGCAGTCTGATGTTTAATGGGAGTGAGTTCCAGAGGGAGGGGGCAGCGATGGAGAAAGCTCTGTCCCCCCAGGTTCGGTGCTTGGTTTGTGGGGGGATAGACAGGAGGTTGGCTTCTGATGAGTTAATTGAAAGACCGTTCTTTAATACTATTATAATATTTAGGTAGCCGAAAAATATCCACTCTTTTTGACTTAACCTAGCTGTCCTACATTTTATTTCTCCACAGATGTACTGTCCATTCTGTGGTTCCAGCGTGACATCTTCGCATGGCTTTTGTGGTGTCTGTGGCAGAGACATCACATTTCTAAAAGATGTGACTAACAAAGTCCCTGAGGAGATGCCCACCACTAGTGCGCATCTAAGTGCACAGCCTAGCACCAGTGCAGGTAAATAGGTTGTTTGTTTTATTACCAAACAATAAGTATTTATAGAAAACTTGGTTTAAAAGTTCGAATTCTGTTATTATACAAATACATCTCTAAACTATGTGGCTTACCTACTGTTGAATGTGTTATAAGATGTTCCTCAGAAGGGATTGAGGATGAGACTCCTATTGAACATAATGAAGAGTAATGAATGTTTTATTCCTGTTTTTTTTGTAGCAGGAAGCTCAGCTGTAGAGTCCTTTCAGAAATATAGGGAAATAAAAAAGAGGGAGAGACCTTTTTTACAAAGGGACGGCATAACTCCAAAAATAAACAGATATTGGTGACGATATGCAACGTTTTCTATTATGAATACATCTGTCATTCAAATCTGCTCACCACACTCATATAATGTCCAAAAAAATGTTTTATTCATTTGCATATTATTGTCTTTTTGCAGATTTCTGTTGGAGTAATGAGGAGGATGGATGGCTGCCTTAAACCCGTGAGAGGGAGGTCACTTCGCCTTAATGTTGAACCTCAATGGGCCTGTGGAGAACTGTTGGCTGCTGCCATAAAAAAGCAGAAAGCCTTTAACCAGGACTTGGAAGATGGTGCCCATGTCTTGTTGTACCCTGATGCGAGGATGATAACAAATATCCCCGGAACGGACACCCCTTTCACAGTACAGATGTACAAAGAGGTCATTGGAAAGCCCTACCAACGAATTACGTTGTACATCTGTACTCTTGAAGCCGTTGAAAACAGTTGTAAGTGCTTCTGACATATATTCCCCCTTGTTTAAAGCACTAAACTGTATAATAGTTCAAATGTAAACATAACAGTTGTTCTGTCTATATTTCTTAACACAATTCATTCCACCCATCATTCCTTTCTCTTCGTGGTTGAACTTATGACGTAAAATGGTCTTATGAATAGCGGCAGAACAAATGGAATTTAAGTATCAACAAAAGCTTCCAAACTTTCCTTCTGTTCAAACTAAATATAAATTCCCTCTTAAGGATTGTAATTCTAAATTAACCTTTTTTCTCACAACAATGTTGGTTTGTTGTGCCCTAAATCCTAATGTGAGAGTGAAACAGACGGTCAACAATATAATGTACATTTCGTGTTTCGATTGAATCCTTTCTGATTGATGTCAATCCAATTATTCAGGATTCAAACCAACATTTGATGATAGGTACAGACGTAGGGGAACAATTATTTGTATAGTATTAATCATGACACTTTTATTTTCTTAGGTTACACTGGAACGACCTCTTCAAGTGACGAGGACAGTGTGGTTGTTGCAAAGTTGCCATCTGGAGACAGTCTTGCTGACACCGTGGTCAGTTTGGATCTATCGTGGCATTTATTCTTAATTAAAGTGAATTTATTTTATTTCAGTCAGTCATTTGTGTGTTGTATGCAGGTGTGGGACTTTCCAAATGAACAGAGCACTCCCAGAATGGACAACAGTTTGCCAGGGTAAAATAAAACAATGTCAACATGTTATTTTGTGCCACAAGAAGCAGAATGTTTTAACAGTACAGTAGTTTGAATATATTTTTTGTTTACCTTTATCAGACCTCTCAGGCACCCACAACCAGCGTCTGATCGGGTAAGACTAATTACAAATGTAATTATACCATGTAGGTTTGAATTTGTGAACATGAAATCAATAAATACCTTTGTGTGCTAATGACACTGTCATTAGATAAACTGCATCATTATTTATTGGGTAAAAGTAGGATGGAGAACCAACCCCATTCCAGGAAGAGGTCCAGTCTGCCCCGGGTCAGAACACCTTCTATAGGTAAACGATGTTGACAGTTGCATCGTGACACAGTTGTTTGGTGTGTATTTTTATTTGTACATTTGGTTGTTTGCATAGCCTCCAATCACAGTGGGTAATATTGCCAGGAAGCAGAACAATTATACTTTCATACATTTCCAAAGGACACCCACAACATCTTAGTGAAGACGATACAAAAAACACCCACAAATATTTTTCAAAGGTCAGATATTTTTTGTTGCATCCATTTCAAATGTTTACAAGGATTGTGCAGGAGTATGACAAAGTGCTGTTGTCAGTTTAGAACCCAATGTATTAAAAAAACCAGGAAGAGGATCGACATCCTTTTGCAAATATGACTGTCATGCATATATTATGTATTTGAAAGTAATTATTCAACTGTCTTCTCACTGCAGCAACTACACAACTGTGTATGCACTTATCATTATTGACAGCCAGTCTGAGCCAGAAGAGGAAACGGAGCAAACTGCAGAGGAAATGTATTAATTGTTACTTTTATCACTTGATTTTTTTAATTCTATACTGTAAATCTTATTACTAGCTTCATCATTTAATATTACAATACATCACTTTGTCTTTCCCAGCACAGAATACCTGACTGCGCCAGACATTGTTGCAGAACTCTCTGCAAAAATTAAAAATACCTCTTGCAGCAGGTTCAATATTAATAGAGCCAATGTGTGGGATGGAGCAATCCGCGGCTTCAAAGGGGCCTCATTCGACCCCTCTCATCAGATGCAGGTTAAGTTTACTGATGATGAGGGACAAACTGAGTATGGAGTGGACACTGGTGGTCCCAAGCGTGAGTTCCTGACCCTCCTAATGGAATGCCTGAGAATGAGAAGAATATTTGATGGTCCACAGGACAGGAAATTCCTCAAGTTTGACAATGCAGGTAATGATGTTCGCAAATCTGTCTTATGTTCAATACTGTACTGTAAATATAGGAGCTGCTTATGGATTTTGCAGCTTGATTTACGTGACAATTAAATTATCTTATACTGTATATATTTATGATAACGTGGCAACTGTTGGTTAACGTGATAATAATTTACCAAAAACTATCAACAGCTGCAAAAGATGACGAATACTTTCATGCTGGGAGGATGATTGCAACTTCTATAGTTCAAAAACACAAGGAGAAAAAGAAGAAAACATCATGTCATGGCTCACTGTCTCAAAATCTGATTCTAAATGTATAATGTTCTTTATAAAGATATAACTAATACACAATTATGAATGTATAATATAAGCTGTTTTGTGTATTTAATCATGCGTTGGTCTACAATTTAATGATGGCTTCTACATATTTCACATAAACAGACAATGAAAAAATGTGTCCTTCATGCTGATAACTAGTGTATGCATCTACAATTAGTATTCTAAACAGAGTAGTGTGTTGAATCCTTATTTCTTGCATTTGAAACAGATACAATACAAAAAGTGAACTTACTGTTGTGTTCAACTTCTGCCAAAAACTGTACATGTTTGCCACAGGAGCCACAGAACACTTGAACTGTCCCCAGATGTTGGCCACAGAAAGAACAAAACATGGCAGCCTGAAAAGACATACATTGATGTAGTAAATCCATGTAATCAAGTCAATCAAAAACACATAGTCTAAATAGTGGTTAGCTAAATAAATAGATACATCATGTTCACCGTTGAATCTGTGATTTGTCTCTCTCTCTCTCCTTGAATGTCTAATGCACACTACTATCCTGTCATTACTTTGTCCCTCTTCACATTGTCACTTTATCTCTCTCTCTTTCTCTCTCAATTCAATGCAATAGCTTTATTAGCATGACCATAGTTACAGGCAATTGCTAAAGCTCTGTATAGTTGCAACATCTATACACAAATACATAAATATAAACAAACTGCTAAGAATTCAAATGTCCTTTTTCCGCGATACTCACTATGGCCCGTGTTATTTACTTGCACTTGATTTGTCATCTCTTTACAATGTTCTTCCCTCACTTTATCTTCTCTTCACGTGAAGCTCTCCTCCCTCAGCTGGTGTAGTAGTTAGGCACGCTAACGCTAGCTAGGTAAATATGACGCTCTATGTATTAAAAAACAAAACAAAACTTACCTTCTTATATCTTTCTCCACTTAAATGAACTTTCTTTCCTCTTGTTCGTTCTCTCTATGTCTGGTCATACATCGATCTGTTCCACGTAGCGCGCCCCCTAGAGGCCTGAAGCACTTCCGGAATGTTTTTTTTTTTGTAATGTGTTTTTCGGTTGTAGGCCTATGTGCTTTTGACTTTGTATATCGTTTTTGTATTTGCAGCGTTTTTCTGTTGCGTTTGTTTTCAGGGTTTGTGTGTTGTAGGTTTAGCTTGCATCATTTCTGTAAATGCAGCGTTTTCTGTTGTATGTGTTTTCAGGGTTTGTTGGTTTTTCATTTCATTATTTGAAGGTGTTTCCTGCTTATGTGTGTGTTTCCGGCCGTTGTTTAGCGTTTGCACCTGCCGGCCACCGTAGAATGACATGTGATGTTGTACACACTGGGATTAACACTCATTTATTGACGCTGGAATAACATTTTATCAGAATTATTTATATATATATATTAATAATATAAGATATAATATGTTACTTTATATATACAGTCTATGGTAAGTACACAACACAATACGCAAAACAACTAGGGTCGTGGGAGTGCGGTCCTGAGAGTGCAGCCTCCGACGCTGCAGCTTCATACTATTGCAGGCAAGACACTCGTAAACTTAGAGCAGTCGTGGATGCAACACAGACGTGGAGGCAAAACAGACGTGGAGGCAAAACAGCAGTCCTTTATCACGCTTCCAGCGCAGAGCCTAGCAGACATTACATTTAAGGTGATGTTACGATAACAATACTAGGTTAAGAACATTCAGGAAGAATGATACTAGCAGAAGGTCTACCTACCGATCAGGCCAAGTTCAGACAAACACACAGCAGGAGAGCTTCATTTACAGTGGCAGCAGACATGGGCTGCAGGATCCCTGCAAGGGTCAACAACCAGCGATACATTTAGTATTTAGGCTAATTGTCATGCTAGGTGTACTGTACCCAATATACAAGCTGTTAATAAACTTTTCAATCAATCAATCAATCAATCACAAACGGCAGCCACTGCAAACTCACCGGTGCCAGTGGAGAAAGCACGTCAGCGGAACCCGGAAGTGGCCTTCGTGCCAAAGAGCGACACTGACCCCTCTTTATAAAGGTTGCCCTGTATGGTGATAGGGCTGAACAGTCTATCCTGCTACAGTAGGATTGGAATATTTACGGTGGCCCACAGGTGCAAATGTGCTACAACGGCCCAAAACATTTCCGTTAGGGAGAAATGCTCTGCATCTTCAGAAACAATGCAAATATAAAAACACAGATGTGCCAAGACACATGCCAATTAAGAAATATCTTCACCTACTTGACAACACATGTGCAGCATTTAGAAAACATTACAAATACTAAATGCTGCAAGAAGCGTAGCAAGAAACGGAAACGCTCAAATTCACATGGACAGAACTGTAGCTGTTGGCCCATGTAGGCTTGTTTCATGATTGTACGTATTTCGTCAGAAGATTTAAAAATGACTTGGTTAGCTATTGAAGACGTTCCTTCATTTGCATGTGTTTTGCCCATTTGTGATTTTTATATTTTCATCGTTTCTGAAGCTGCATTGTGTTCAAATGGAAATGTTTTGGGCCGTTGTAACGCGTTGGCACCTGTCGGCCATTAAAATAATTGTCTATAAATAACAACATTGGAGGAATCTCCCAGGACGGACAGATGTGCAAAGGGTGTAGTGTTTATAGATTAACAACGATAATAAAATTCCAAAATGAACTACTCCGAATGAAAATCCAAATTATAATATGAACATATATTTAGAAAAAAACATGGATCCAGAAGGATGATAATAAATAATAAGGCGCCAGGAACAAGACAACAGGCGCAGCCCCCACTCATTGTCCAGATGTAACCTTTAAAACTGATGACCCGCCAGGTGGGAAACAAAAAACTCCAGAGATGATGCCCTGGATGCTGAGTTAATAATATGCCTTCATGAGACATTAGTGCATAGAGATAAAGAGAAAGATGATACAATGATTGTACTCGCGCTTTTAGACACGCTTGCAGGCGTGCAGAGAGAAAATGGAAAAAGGATAAACTTCATGTCTCCTTAGAAATTCTTCGTGCTTGCCTTTCCGATTATCAGACGGCAGTCAAAGCAGCCAAAACAGAGTATATTTCTCTGTTAATCTCCAAAAACAGCCATAAACCTCAACTTCTTTTTAATGTCCTTAATTCGATCATTAATCCTTGTGATGCTTCTCCAATTGTGCCATCAACTACTCTCTGCAATACATTTCTTAAATTTTTTATCGAAAAAGTATCTGCTCTTAGGCTAGCCTATACTAGTGCTACCCCAGATCCTGCTCCCTTTCTGTGCCCTGCTGTCCTCGACCATTTTGAGCCTGTATCCCTCTCTTCTCTCTCGGATGTAGTCAAGCACTTGCGGCCGACAAACTGCACCTTAGATAGCATTCCCTCTCGCTTCCTTAGATATGTTTTGAATCAGTTGGAGCAAGTGTTTGTATTGCTTGTAAAACACATCTCTTAGCTCAGGATGTGTCCCAGCTGCCTTCAAACATGCCGTGGTTAAGCCACTACTTAAAAATAAATCTCGATCCCTCCATTCTCGCAAATTTCAGGCCCATCTCCCAGCTACCCTTTTTATCTAAAGCCTGGAGCGAGTAGTCATACGCCCAGCTGGCAGACATTTGTAACCACGCATGGCATGCATGCAGCCCTTTTTAAGAGTTTTTTAATGATCTGCTCGTTAGCCGCCGACTCAGGCAGCCCAGCTGTTTTGATGCTATTAGATTTAACTGCTGCCTTTGACACTGTGGATAATAGTATCCTGTTGTCACGGCTTGAACAGTCCGCAGGCATTACAGGCTCTGCCCTTGCATGGTTCAGGTCTTATTTGACGGACCGTAGCTTCTCAGTGCAGTTAGGTGCCTTCTCCTCTGCCAAAGCCCCTCTTACCTGTGGGGTTCCCCAAGGCTCGATTCTGGGCCCCAACCTTTTTCTATTGTACATACTGCCCCTAGGTTCAATTCTCACAAATAGTGTACAATAAACCTTTTGTCCAGTCAACCGTATCACGTTGACTTAATGACTTTAGGATTCCTTCAGGGCTAGTGCACAGTAAATTCATGTTGTCTCGTGAAATTGTCCTGTGGAAGCAAGCAAGTTACAATACTATTAAAACTGACATCTATAATGTTGTTTTTATTTATTTTTTATTTCCACTAACATGCAGAAGAGCCATAATGTACCACCTGATTTGTATCTCTTTGGGACAAGATCTGGCTCCAAAATTGTAGACTTGTGTTTTGTAATATATAATATGAAGAAAAACGTTTTTTTAAAAACCCTGTTTTTTTGTCCCCTCTAAAAATGTGCCGGCTGCGATTGCTCAACCCACTGTGGTTCCTTGCTCTGGTTGTAAATTTGATAAGCATGTCACACTCCTTCCGACGCTGTTTGTGGTAAATCTGGCAGTTTAATGTGAAACACCTGGTGTATGTTTTTAAGATTAACGTAGGAGAAAGCCCAGAGCCTGCTCTGTGGCCAATACAAAGACTAAAGGCAGTTTCTGTGGACAGGAAGAACATTTATTTGGCTCAATATTGTCAGTAATTTCTAAATTTCCAGAAATGTTATTATCACGACAAATACACAGAAAACAAACCTCCATCCAGCTTCTGTGAAGTTGGAAAAGTATTGAGAGAAAAGGAACATTAACAGTCTACCTCCAGGGCCTCTATTAAATGACCTCCCTTGACCACATCACAATGTTTCTCAGCATCATGTGATGCTTCGGAGCCTACCATGTGATGCTGGATGCAAGCTACTATGCGGCGAAGATATCATCAAGTCTTTGGTTAGAAAAAAGGGTTTACTTGATTTAGTACACCGGAACACATTCCCATACCCACTAGCCTCCCCTTGGCTTTGCTGAGATGAATACAGCGATTGTCACCGACTTTGTCCTACATGAACCCAAATTAACCGACATAAAGTCTCTCAATTATTTGTATGTGCGCTTGTAGCAGTTAACCGATGAGCTGGGGGGGGGGGAGGAATGCAATGTGGGTGCACATGGGTTAATATTCGGGTCACCACACTTCCCATAATTGCTCAAGTTGCTCAGGAAACCGTACCCCTGTGTGCCACCCTGAGCCAAGGAGGGGTGCTGCTGCGGCCAGCCAGCCCCTAACACAGAGATACACGGACCGCAAAGGGAGTGTGTGTGTGTGTGTGTGTGTTGTGTTGTTGTGGTGTGGTGTGTGTGTGTGTGTGTGTGTGTGTGTGTGTGTGTTGTGTGTGTGTGTGTGTGTGTGTGTGTGGTGTGTGGTGTGTGTGTGTGTGTGGTGTGTGTGTGTGTGTGTCGGGGAGTTGAGGGGCAACAATTTTATCTAAGGTACACTGCACTTCCTCATGTGTTAAGAGTGAACCTTCTGTTCCCAGTGAGAAACAGTCTCAGGCCAAATGACTGCAGCAGATGGCTGCCATGAGTGTGTTGTAAATATAAAAACACTTTACGAACTTGATGGATAAACAACTCTTTAAATACCGTTTAACATTTTATAGGGTTTTCTCGGGACATATAAGGAAGACAAGACATTGTGTTGTTTTTGTTACATTTTTTTGCAAGGGCAATGTCCTTATTGGCTTCCCGAGAGTTTGAAAAAACGTTCATATCTCTCTAATAGGATGGTTGAGCAAAGGGACAGTTAACGCTTAGTAAATTAGTTCGGATAAATGTGTAAGAGGAACTTTGTCAGTGTTTTTACTGTACCTCTTTCATATATGACCAAGGATGTCAATAAACATTCGGTACAGTTAAGTCAATCATTAATCCGAGCCATCACTTCTCACCTCAGGCATGATGCCACAATGTTTGTGTGGGCACCATTGCAACCCTACTTCCTTTATAACATGCCCGTATCTCTGGGCGATCATTTGAGGAATAGGTTAATGGGTAACTTCTTAAAACCGTTATTCAAATCAAATGTAATATGATGCTCACACACACCTGAAACCTGTTTCCAAGACTTTCTGTGAGCCGGAACATTCCGTTGGGCAGGA